ATTCCATCAGGAAACATTCTTTATCCTAATAAAATCACAGGACCAGTCCCATCCCTATCCCATGAGTTCTAATATTAGGAGCAAACAAATAGCACATAATATTCCTTTGTTCTGTCCTTAGCTTGTTAAGATATGAGGGGCTAGGAATGGGGGGTTTCGTGGGGTGAAAACTAATATTTACTGAGATTTCTATTCTGGTACAGAAAAATGGTTTAGCCTTAGAATGCCTGGATCTCTATAAAGCATTTGACATTGTCTTTCAGTGTACCCTTCTGGACAAAATTATGAGATATGAGTCTAATTAGGTGGATTCAGAAATGTTTGAATAACCAGCACCAAAATATAGTCACAAAGTCTCAAAGAAAATTCAGAAAGAAGACTCTTGTGAAGTACACCGAGGATATGACATTTCTCCCTGTGCTGTTCAACGTTACTAGTGACCCGGTTAAATTCCAATTCAATTCAATTAAAAAAATGTTTATTAAATGCCTATCATGTGCATACAAAAAAAATTGTAATTGTCTTTGGCTTCACTGGGCTTATATTCATCTGGAGGAACAAATACAAAATAATAAATACATGTTATAAATAAAATAATATAATTTCAAGAGGGAGAGAACATTAGTACCCTGGCGGATAAGGAAGGCTATTGTATACAAGGTGGCACCTGAATTGTGTCTTAAAGGAAGTTATGACTACCAAAAGGCAGAAGTGAAAAAGAAATGTATTCCAGATGTGGGGTTCTTCAATGTGGTTCCATTCCATCCATCTGGCACTGGAGACTTTAGTGTTGTACCCTGCATCTCTCTTTCTTAACAGCTGATCTGCTTTTTCATTCTTATTCTTGTATTCACTAAATGTAAGCAACAGCCAATGTCTCCCTGTATTAGGTCTTCCATTTCCTGGTCCAAAATCTTCACTTTAGACCTGTCATGTCATCTGTCTTGAGATAGCAAAAGACAAAAGATATCTCTTATCTGTTCTGGGAACCAGGAAATGACCTCTTTCTCCGATGGATCTGTAACCACTAACTCCCTCCAATGATAGATATTGTAACCTACTCATGTCCTCTCATTCTCTGTAATTCTTATCCATATCAAACCATGTATCTTCCATAATGAATCCATGCTACATATTGAAGGCCTTCTTCTTCTTCAATATTTAATGAGTGCATTTTATAAGGTTTTAGTAAGATGCAGGACAATGGCTACAATAATGGAAACTAAAAAGCATTAAAATTAAAAAAAACGATCACTGTAATTTACAACATGATCGAACTCAGACCTGGAGTATAGATGAGGAAATGTGTATCCCTCCTTTTCTTGGAGAGACTGGGGACTACAGATATTCTCCAGCTATCTTCATGCCATACTATCTTGCCAGCTACCTAGTTCCTGTCCTAGGGCTTTGCTTGCTCCTGATTAGTGAGAGTTCTCCATAACTACACCAATTCAGACCCACTAGACTGCCTGATGCTCTCCAACCACACTCTTGCAATGCTGCTGCCCATAACCCATCAATTTCCATCTCCAGCTCTTGGAACAATAATCAAATCAACATCCAGAATCATGTGACCAACAAGATGGAAGACTATATATATTTTTTCTTTAGTCCTTACCAACTCTCCTAAAAAGGGCCTTTCCATTACACATTATCTTGCAGTTCTAGAGGTAGGTTCAGCAAATCCCACCATGTCCTTTGGCATCAGGCAGAGCTGCATCCTCTGATAACGGATTCCCATTGCCTAGATCCCCATTATTCTCAGCATGTGGTAAACACTTAGTGAGTGCTTAAAGACTGATTTAAGGGACTTTACCATAGTCATATATCAAGCTAAACATCAGTGGCAGGATTCAAAAATATATCTTTTTGGCTCTGGGTCAAGCACTCTAATGACTATTCCACTACTAATTGGGAAGGACAATTATTCACCAAAGTTAAAATTGAATGAAATAAACTATATGGCTGGTAGCTATTATATTGTAGGGGGAAAATCAAATCAAAAATATCACCTGAATGATAGCAGTTATGTAAGGTCAGCCTATTACTAGGAAGGAAGAGCAGAAAGGTACCTGTCACAAATGAAGATCACATACTCATTTCCCTTCACAAAGGAGGCATGTCCTCAGTGAAAAATTATCCTTACACAGAGGAAAGAGCTCCTGAGATTTCCCAGATATTTACTTTGATCCTGGTATCTCATTAGTCAGACCCCAAAGGGAAACCTAGACAAAATATTGTGAAGGAGCATGGCATGAAGTAACAGAAATAGGGGAACTATGGATCTTAAGAACTTGAGAATTAACAATAATTGCTGATAGGAAACATAAATTGGATCCGATATACACAGTTCAAATCACTATAAAAGAACAGGTTCCCAGAATTGCCAGGTATGGAAAAAGTCAAATGAAATACAAATAACTTTTGAGGTTCTATGCCCCCCTTTTACCTTCCTTCCACCAAAAGATTTCCATATTAGGATGCTTGAGAAAGAGTTCCTTGTAGCTGATTCCCTCCTTGCCCAAATCCTGGCTCTGTCACTTATCACCTGTATGACCTCAGCACAAGTCATCTAACTTCCCTGAGCCTCAGTTCCTCATCTGTAAAATACAGGATTTGAACTACATGGCCTCTGATGTCCCTTTCCATTCTAAATCTATGATCCTTTAATAGTTTCACCCAAGTAAGCCAGCAAGTTGGTAGTGCAGCACATAGAATTTTTAGACTTGGAAACTTGTTGAATTCAAATCTAGCTTTGAACTTTTGACTAGCAATGTGACCAGCTATTCTAAATAATAACACCTAGCTCCCATGGTTGTTGTGAGGATAAAATGAGATAACTTGGTAAAGTGCTCTGAAAGCCTTAAAGCACCATATAAATGTTAGCTATTATTATTAAGGACACCAAAGCTATCAGAAGAAGGTTTGCACTGTAGTCAGCACAATGTTTACTTTTTGTATGTGGTACTGTTGTACAATGAGGATGTCTTTTCTTCGTTAAAATTGTTCACTCTTTGTTCTTCTAGAAAAAAAAACAAAGGAATCCAGGGGTTCTCCTCTGCCTAGGAAAGGAGATACCCTAGGAGGACTCAAGACAGTGAATCTGCTCTTAGTGTGTATGAGAACTGAGGAAGAGAGACATTCCTAGCAGCTAGGTGATAATGTCTGAATTATGCATTGAATCCCAAAGATCCACCTCCATGGATTCAACAGGTAGGTGCAGAAGCACACATGTTTCTCTTATAGAAATTTCATCAAATAATAACTTACAAATGGTAACCATTAATGCCTCTTCAAGAGCATTCTTAATATCTCAGTTCCTTACTGCTCTTATTTCAACTTTTCCAGTGGTGAATAGGCTTATCTGGAGAGGCCAGAGAAATTTCCCATCAATCTTACCCACAGTAGAGATCCACTAAATTAAGAGGTAAAAGAAGTCTTTTTCTCAAGGGTCTAAAAAAAAGTGTATATCTCTCTAAGTATATAACTATTCCAGTCAAGGACATGGGAAGGGTTGGAACCTTTCAATGGTTACTACAAACTACCAGAATCCAGAAGATGAATTTCTTAGGCTCACTGTTTCTAGTCCCTTCTGCTTATTTGTACCTTCACCATAAGTGGGCCAGATACAATAAAATTTGCTTGCTAATAAAATTCACATAGGGTTAAGTTTTAGGGTTGAGATTATTACTGTTTCATTTAGTTCAGTTATCTAAGGTCCTTTCTAACTCTAATTTTTTTGTGATTTGATCATAATAACTAGGTCAGAGGACAAGATATTCAGACTTACAAGCTGTGGTTTTGGGGACGGAAGGCTCAGTTTCTTTTCCTGGTTGCAAGGATGATAATCCTGTGATTGTTGTAAGTAATAACATTGTTTTCACCACACAAGACTTCTGTTGAAGGGTACGGGGGAAGATTTTTGACCATTCACTAGGAGAGGAGGCAGGGTGCCCCAATATATTGTGTGCATACTTTTATGCTAAAACACTTCTAGAAAAGGTTTCTTTCAGGGGCAGCTAGGTGGCACAGTGGATAGAGCATTGGCCCTGAAGTCAAGAGGACCTGAGTTCAAATCTAGCCTCAGACCAAACACTTGACACTTACTAGCTGTGTGACCCTGGGCAAGTCACTTAACCCCAATTGCTGAAGAAAAAAAAAAAGAAGAAAAGAAACGGTCTCTTTCTCTACCTGGAAATGATCTATTAGCCCATTAATGGTCTTCATCAGTCACCACACACATAACTCCACAGCCTGCTTAAAAATAGTATCTCCTCCATATGTTACAAAGATTTGAATTAAATCTATTGGAAAAAATTTTCCACTGCCATGAAAATTATATCAACTGAACCATGTACTCTTTTCATTAAAAAAAGTCTAATATTTAACATGGTTTCAAAACTATACTCTTGTCTTGAAAATATTATTCTTCTGTGTTTACTCCAGATTGGAACAAGTACAGAATAGTACAACCCTTCCTCTCTATAGACCATATGGAGGACAAAAGGATGAATCTTGGTAAGTGAGCATGTTTTCCAAACCAATGTTATTCTACCCCAGGTTTAATGTGAGATTAGTCGATATGTTTTATAGCTTTGTTGTAAATAATGTTAAATATCAAAAACAACTAAACTTGCTTTCATGATTACATTAGAATAAATTAATGTCAATATATAAAATGTCTGAAATAATGTATCAGCCATTCCCCTTAAGATTCAAACAATTTTTCGTTCCTCCTTGGAGGTCTTCAAACAGAATTCGTTTGATTACTTGCTGGGTAGGTTAGAGTGTAGATTTTTTTAATGCCTATGTCATGGTTTGAGAACAAAGGACAAATAATAAAAACAACAGCATGGGTTATAGTAGGTGGATACTGAGGTCCCTTTCAACTCTCAAATTTGTAATTTTGTGATACATTACCGTACACCTGTCATTTTAGATGTTTGTTGTTAGTATGTACTTTGTTCCATGGATTCTGATTTTTTTCTTCGCATTATTTAATGAAAATGTTTTCAGATGTTTTTATACTATACTCCTCATCCTTACAGATATGGTCATTTCTATTTTTATAACCTTCATGAAGGCAGGGACCGAGTCTTTGCTAATCTATATATCTTCTGCAATGCTAGAGTGCTGAGCAGACTGTAGGTGCTCAGTAAATGTTTGATAAATGAATGTTGAGTATATTCATGTAGACACTGGAGTGTTCATGTTTCAAGCATAGATAAATGTGACCTACTTATTTGGGCTTATCAAAAAAATCTAATTTCTCTTGTTTCATTATTCAAGTAAAAAGAGAGCGGGGTAGATGGGGTATTCAGGGAGGATTAGCACCTTAAGTGTAAGAGTTTGTCAAGCCCTTTTCAGGGTGTCCACCTTCACCCAACTCTCACTTGCAGCTCCAAGAAACTAGCATGCACAGAGCCACGCTCCAATAACCATCTCATAAGGTGGGCTAAACCAGGTCAAGGGTAACTGACAGAGTTCAAACCTGTCAGTGAGTTAAGGGGATGTCTACCCCAAGCATGTGAAGACTTTCTCTAGCAGAATGGATAGAATGAGAACATTTCATTCCAACGGCTATGAAGGAGGCTGAAACAGGCACTGTGGAGCACTAAGGGTTGGTCAAGCAACAAACACACCATGGTCATCCATTGCATTGTGGGCCATAGCTGTTCATCTTAACTTTTTGTCCTGCCACTGGACTTCAAAAACTCTGGAAGAGAGAATGAAGCTCATGATTTTGTACAACTCTGCCACACTTAAATCCAATTTACACTCAAGGCAAAACATCACCCCACGATGTCATTGGTTTTCTTCGAAAATGAAGGACAAACAACAAAATAGGAGTGAATTAGTTTTAACAAGAACAACAAAAAGATATGTGATTAGTTTTAATGGTTGAAATGGGAATTGAAGCATAGTTATTTCTAGTTTTAACAAAATATCATAGGGGCAGCTAGGTGGTGCAGTGGATAGAGCACCGGCCCTGAAGTCCGGAGGACCTGAGTTCAAATCCAGCCTCAGACCAAACACTTAACACATACTAGCTGTGTGACCTTGGGCAAGTCACTTAATCCCAATTGCCTCACCAAAAAAAAAATTTTTAATTAAACAAAATATCATGTATAGGTTTCATCTGAAAGTGATAACATTTGTGTTCTTCCTTCACATTCAAAGATGGTGCTAGTGGAAGGATAACACTATATGTTAATATAGATTACACTGGCTACAAATATAGAGGAAAACAAAAGTCACTATGATGTCAACTTCAAGATCTGCCATGCTTCAAACTAAGAGGAAATTGGACATATTTTACCCATTTATGAGAGATATGCACATTAAAGAACAAATCTCATTAAGATTTAGAGAAACATGGGTCATTACAGAATGAAATAGACTTTGTTTCAAACTAATGCTACCGCAGTATAGTAGTCACTGTAGCAAGTCCTCTGAGGAAGTGAGCAGGTGAAACTGTTTCACTAGATGAGGGCACAAGTATTTCCTGCTGCACTGAAGCTTCATTCAGCCAGGGTATTTAAGCAGCAGAAACAGTAATAAAAGGACTAGTGTTACTGAGACTAGCCTCTACCAATATGTGAGTATAGATTATTTCCATGCAAAATAAAGAGATAGTGAAGACTCTTGAGGCAGCATGACCATGGAAAGAGTGCTGGATTTGGGGTCAGAAGGCCTGGATTTGAATACTGGCTATGCTTCTTGTTACCCACCTATCCTTAGACAAGTCACTTAGACCCCCACCCCGTGCCTCAGTTTCCTTAGCTGAAAATGACAGCATTGCACTAGATGACTTCAAAGGTCCCTTCTAGCTATAAATCTATGATTCTGTGGACTCTGGTGGTCTTAGGTTCCTGTGCATATGTTCTTCTATGTGGACACTAAATGTGTTCTGCTGGTGCACCCACCCCTATGGAAAGATTGCCAAGACTGTATTATATGTGTTCTCCCAGGTTCCAGGCACAACTGGCATAATTCAGGAGTAAATCTGTGATACCTATTTACCTTCAGATTAAGCAGAAACCTGTTTAATTCTGATGTTACTCCCTCTACTTGGGTATGTCCCATAGGAGATAACGACAGGACGTCTAGTTTCAGAGTGGACCAGTGTGCTTCTCCCTGAAATTTAAACTTTCTTCTTAGGATGCTTACTTGGAAACAAGACAGTTTATGTCATTTTGTGTGTCTTTTCCACAGTTTTGGAGCCTAACGGGTCAATCACATACACTGTGACTGAGTTTGTCCTCCTGGGTTTTTCTGGTCACCAGAAAATGCAGAATCTCTTCTTTTTCTTAATCTTAGTGGTATATATCCTGACTTTGTTGGGGAATGGAGCCATTGTCTGTGCAGTAAAATGCGACAAGCAGCTCCACACACCCATGTACATCCTCTTGGGGAACTTTGCTTTCCTTGAAATATGGTACGTTTCTTCCACTATTCCCAACATGTTGGCCAACTTTCTATCTGAGACCAAGACCATCTCCTTCTCTGGCTGCTTCTTCCAGTTCTACTTCTTTTTCTCCCTGGGGACTACTGAGTGTTTCTTCCTATCAGTCATGGCATATGATCGGTACCTAGCCATCTGTCGACCACTACATTATCCCACCATCATGACAGGGAGGTTTTGTGTCACCCTGATATCTGCCTGTTGGGTGAGTGGATTCCTTTGTTATCCAGTTCCCATTGTTCTGATATCTCAGCTGCCTTTCTGTGGCCCTAACATCATTGATCACTTTGTCTGTGACCCAGGCCCATTATTTTCACTCATCTGTGTCCCTGCTCCTGTCATTAAACTCATCTGCTATACTTTCAACTCCATGATTATCTTTGGACCCTTCCTCTCCATCCTTGGGTCCTATACCCTAGTCCTCAGAGCTGTGTTACATGTTCCCTCTAGGGCTGGCCGGCATAAAGCCTTCTCCACATGTGGATCCCATCTGGTGGTTGTGTCTCTTTTCTATGGCACCCTCATGGTGATGTATGTAAGCCCAACATCTGGGAATCCAGCTGGAATGCAGAAGATTGTCACATTGATGTACTCAGTAGTAACTCCCCTCTTAAACCCCCTAATCTATAGTCTACGCAACAAGGACATGAAAAATGCCCTGAGGAAAGTACTAGGAGGATTGAAAATTAGCCAGAGTTCATGAGAATTATTTGAAAGGTAAGATGACTATTATACTACTCTCTGGCTCTGCTTCAATACTTTGAATGATCTAAGAACTCATAATTCCCCTACCACCACAAATGACAACCCACCCATGCCTTTTCATCCTGTGTGACTTTTTTATCTCATGTTTCCATAAAATCCCAATAGAGATTTTAAAAAGTGAAAAGGACCTGCAAGAACAAAAAAATTATAGCAGCCTTTTTGTGGTGGCAAAGAATTGGAAATTGAGGAGATGCCCATAAATTGGGGAATGACTGAATAAGTTGTGATACATGGTTAGGATGGAATTCTATTGTGCTATAAGAAATGATAAGGAAGATACCTTCAGGAAAATCTGGAAACGCTTACACGAACTGATGCAAAGTGAAATGAGCAGAATGAAGAGAACAAAGCAAAGTAATGGCAATATTGTACAATGATCAACTGTGAATGACTTAGCTATTCTCCGGAATACAATGATTCAAGACAATTCTAAAAAAAACTTAAGATTAAAAATGCTATTCATCTCCAGAGAAAGAACTGATGGAATCTGAAAAGAGATTAAAATATACCTTTTTACTTTATTTCTTATTCTTGCATTTTTTGGTCTGTATTTTATTTTCTAACATACCTATTATGGAAATGTTTGCATGATTGCATATCTATAATGTATATAAAATTTGGTTGCTTTTCCAAGGAGGAGAGAGAGAGAGAGAGAGAGAGAGAAAATACCGAACTCAAACTTTTGAAAAAATGGTAAAAACTTTTGTTTACATGTAATTGAGGAAAAAAATTAAATGCTAAAAAAGTGGCTTGCTATCCACTACACCATGATGCATCTTATGGTATCACTGTTGAACGAGAGAAAGAAAAACAGGAAGGAAGGAAGGAAGGAAGGAAGGAAGGAAGGAAGGAAGGAAGG